GCACCTCAGGAGATCATGACTGAGATCGTGCAGGGCAACCCGCAGCTTGGTGTTCGCTCATTCTGACAGTCTGAAGTTTCCCCCCCCACATGCTGGAGCAACCTCAGGTCACAAACCGATGAAGCGACGTCCGACGTCCCTTCACTTTGAAGAGATGGACCCTATCCGGTAGCACCGGCTGGACATTTCTGAGGGGACCTCTTGAATGGCCTCAGTCAGACAGTAGCTACGACCCCGGTGGATGAGCACCAAGCACCGGGACTCTTCGGATTCGCGCGGTCCCAGGCATGACAAGATCCGCTTGGCTTCAGCGCCCGACGTGATGTGCTTCCAGGGCAACCACACCTTGCCCCTTGGAATAACGGATCTTTCTCGCTCTCTGGAGATGAAGATCGCCTGGGAGTTTGTAGGACATTTGGTGTCTGCGGGCGATGAGTGGGAGTCCCCATGATGAATACTCGGTCCTTGAACGAGTGAACTTGACTACGCCGCTCATGAAGGCCTCCATGGCACATCCATGGCCCTCGCAGCATTCGGGTTGGTTTCTGGAATGACAGTTCTTTGATCCAAAGGCCTGGGATTTGACAATTGTTTTACCAGGAAGGCGCGTCGTTGGGATTTGAGCCTCGAGCTCGGTAGTGAGCTCTGGTCACTGCACGCCCCGGTGCCCGCAAGCGAGCTCTTCTCCTCTTGGGCCCTCCCAAGAGTCACCACCAGTCACCACCACGTCATGTGTCGGACCGGCGGGAAGCGTTCCCATGTTCCAACCGGGAGCAGGTTCCAAGTAGTATATGTATAGCCCTTGGAGTCATGGGAAAACGACACCGTGCGTGTTTGGCACGAGTGTCATCCCTTCATCTGGACCCACGGCATGGACTCATGGACTTGAGTGGAGTGGAGGGACTGAGCGGTCCACGTGGCGTCAAGTGCCGTCGATGCCCAGGCTCTTGGTGGTCATCGCCATCATTTTGCCCATCTACTTCTACGTGCTGGTGCCCTATGCTGTGGCCTGGGCGCTGTTTCATCCACATTTTTCATGTCGACTCGGAAGTGGACTCCCGACCCGCCCTTCCGTCGGCGCCGCTTCCGTGCCCGGAGTCTCGATGGGCCAAGGTCTGTGCGGGAGATGCCCACTATGTGCCCAAGAGCATTTTGTTCGACTACAAGCTCCTCAGCTGGAGAGCTTGTTGCTCTTTCACGCCCCCTTGTTGTGGCCCCAAGTCGGGGGGCACCGATGGAACCTTCCCCTTCCGCCGCACGCGCGCTCGGGCGCGCGGCGGGGTCGGCGCGGTGCTCCGAGGATCTGGGAGGATGAGAATACCTGGTGGAAGGCCGCGGAGCGCTCGGCCACCGATCTTCACTTGGCCTTCCTGCATCCGAACCCCAAGGAGGCCGGTCGTGGAGGAAGCGGGTCCGAGGTTGAACCAACGAGGTGAGCGAGCGTGGGGCTTAACTGGTTTGAACGGGCTTAACCGGGTGTGAGGGGTGAAGTGGTGCGAAGAAGTATCACCATCTATCTATCACAAGAACTGAACTGAATGACTGAATTGTGAGCAAACGATGGGTGTTTGACACGGCTCAGGAGGCGGGTTTCGTGCTGCACCAAAGGACCAAACCAGGCCCCTCTCAGTTTGCGTATGGTAAGATATAGGCTAAGCCATCTCTAATCAATCCTCACGCAAGTACTGTATTAGCAACTGCAAGACTGAACCGTCTTCGTTTTTCTTGCATGGCTTCCTCCGGACCCGTCCGCTCACATCACTCGGACTGGACCATGGTGGCCCCCGGCGGTCTTGCTGCTCCGAGTCGAGTCTCCACCGATGGATCTCCGCTCTGGCGAGCCCACGGGGTCTGACAGGTCTTCCGCACCAACATCCTCGAGTTGGTGGCCAAGATCCTGTGGCTTGGAATCCTCGGTCCGGGGGGGGATGTCGTGGGCGGGCTGGCGCGGGGCGGGTAGGGCTGCAGTTGATTTCGCCATGCTGCAGGGGCTTTGGCATGGGGCTTTGGTCTCCAGACATGGGCTCCACACTGGAGACGGTTAGACGGGACCCTCCTAAGCTAAATCGCTTTTCGCTTCCCAGTGACCCGCCATTGAAACGGATGAAGGAAGAGCCAGCTGCTAGATTTGTAGTGACAAGAGAGTTGATGCTCAAAGGATGGAAAGGATCCAGGGACAAATTTGCAAGGAACTTGGTTGGACCCTTTCCTTCAGTGTCCTTCCACTTCCACCCTCTTAAGTGGTTTTTCGAGCATGGTCAGATAGATCGCCCCAAAACGGTTCTGCCCCGGTTGCCCCTGCAGATGCATGCCGGATGCGCCGTCTTTCCCAGGTTGCCCGTGGTGACGATCTTGTTGGCACCCACGCCTTTGGTGGAGATGATTGGGGTGTTGCTGATCGGCGTGATGATGTGGGGCTTCTGGGCATGCAGATGGGCTCGGGCTCATAGTGGGAGTCAGAACCGAGGCAAAACGGTCCACACAGGCCGAAACTCGGAGAGGAGAGGTGAAACTCAAACTCCTTGGCCCAAAAGGGTGGGGACATGTTGGGACATGTGATGTGGACGGACCATGGCAGGAACAGTCGACTTGTCAAACCTTTGCCATTTTTGTTCAACCGCACCTTCCCCGACACCCGCCCTTTCTCAGCCGCCCATGCACAGCATGTGGGCATGCACAGCTACTGAGGCAACTCCATGATTCACCCACCCTATGTGGAGAGGAAGATGACCATCCTGGTTCAGGAGCCTTCGTCTTCGTTTGGAAGATGACCCATCTTTCGTTTTCACAGGTGCTTCAGCTGGTTTTCCCTCCCTTTCCTCGCCCGGGACGTCTTTGATGTCAGAACCGAACCTGGAAACGTGTTCAGTCGCGAGGCGGGTTTTGGCTCCGGGTTCTGGAGCCACTTGGGTTGTAGAGTATTTGGAGATGAGAAGACCCAACTTGAGCCCCAACTTGCATTCTGGTGCGAGACTTGGATTTTGGTTTGTAGAGAAGTGGTCTACAGCGGCTGTACAGGAGCTTGGCGCCGTCGTTGGGTTCTTTTCGGGTGCCCCATTGCTTTGTAGGGGATAGCGGTTTTGGGCGTCTGCCCGTTGTGCATGGCTGAATCTTCCAGGATGGAGAAGTGAGGAACTGGACCCGCCATCAACGTAGCAACGAAGATAGCATGGGTAAACCATTGAGGATGGTCGCAAGGAAGGTAGCAATGTGTAGGTCATGGATCTTCCAAGGCGACTTCTCCAAGCAACGCACTTCTCCAAGCCTCAGACGAGAAGTCGGCCTGAAAAACAACCCACCTCCCCAGCTCCTTCCGGCATCGACGCATCCAGGACTTGAAGTTGTTCACCATGCTCACCATGGCCTGTGGCGTGCTGACCGTGTACTTGGAAGACCCCGAGTCCAACCTTCCCATCTACTGCCTCGCCGGCTTCTTGACGCGACCAAAGCGGTGACCCTTCCCTCACCGCTAGCGGCTGGGTGACCATGTCGCCATTCTGAGATGTTGAAGACACGGAACTTCTCCCAGAGTTCACAACCAAGAGAGGGTGCCCAACCAGAGGGCCTGGCATGGTCCAATTCCAAATGATTTTTCTGCGGGTGGGCACCTACAAGGCCGGTGGAATTTCACTATAGATCCGGTGAAGCTGTAGGAACGGGGAAGGTCATCTCGCGGTCAAACGACATTCCACAATAATCCACGATACACCCGGTGAATGATCCTCTATCAAATGCCAGTGATTTGACCCTATGAAATGCCAGTTAGGAGAGTATACTCAAGAATCTTCGCAAATTCTCAGTGAAGTTTTCTTTCCCACTTGATTTCTCTAAAGCTGCGCTTGGAGCATCTAGCCATCGCAGTAAAAAGCCTCATCAGGGGGCCAACCATGGGCTTGCACAATGACTTGCACCCCTTGGCTGGTGATTGTTGATGGGAGAGGAGGAGCAAACCGATGACACGATTGGGTGCCTATCTAGGAGCCTGTGTGGCACAAGGAGCGTCCACAACATATCGTAAAATAGGAATCCTGAGATCTTCTTTTGACTTTTCGTGATCTTTTTCCACACGCCGAGCTCCCGAACGAATCCATCCGCCGAGCGCCCGCTTCGTTCCCCGCGAAGGTTCTGGGGTCTTTGTGGTGTTTTTGCTGCTCTTCCAGCTGTCACTGCTCCACTCCCGCCGCCCAGTGGTGCACAAGCTCATCGTCAGTGAGCAGGAGCCAAGTCACGAGGTGGACCCCAAGTGAGTAATGGGAACTCGGAACTCTCGTGAGCTCTACCCACGAGTTCTGAAAGATCGTTTTTTTGGTTTGAATGAGCGGGTTTTTGCTGTATGGCAGACCATTGCCATAGTGCCATAGTCCAAGGCCAACTGAACCAGATGGCCTTTAATTCGAGCTTCGGAGCAAGTCAGAATCAGTTCAGTCTTCAAGCAGCTGAAGCTGCATGAAAACCGTAGAGTTGAAAGCTTGTTTCTGTCATCACCATCGCTGGTTGTGTCTCATAGTCCTCGCCTTGGCCGAAGTCACCTTGCCCCATGAGCCCACGCCTGAACCTTTGGGCTCACCGTCTCACCGATGCCCACGATCCTCGAAAGGCCTCCAAAGAGGCGTTTCGGGCTGCAAGACTGGAGGCCGAACGCGACGCCCAATGAGGCACTAAAGAAAGAGCCCCTGCCTGTAGGCTGTAGACTCGAGACGTGAGGGCCACGTATGCCAGGTGCTGGCCTTGGCCTCAGCACGGTCGGTGGAAATCTATAGGTTGAACTTGTGAACATTCTCTTTGAGGGCTTCTAGATTTGCACCATCACAAATTACATATCATTGACCCCTGGTTTTCCGAAATGACTTGTAGAAGCTTAGCAGCATGGACAAATTCCAGTGCAAGAGTGCAAGGAAGGAACCGCCGAAAGACTAGTTTGTTTAACTTTAAAATGGACTGGGAGCTCTGGCAGATCTATTATACAGTATATGCCCCCTGCACTGATTTTGATGCCTCAGGAAAGGCCAAGTGAGCTCGATCACTCTACCGAACTTCGTGCTCAAGAAGCACTGGCAAGCGCTCGAGAGGTGCAAGGTGAGCACAGGGCAAGATGGGGATCGAGACGGGGGGGTCTGGTCTAGATGGGATGGGCCAGGTGGCGCAGGCTTCGCATACTGTAGCAGGCATGCTGTAGCAGGCATGCTGTAGCAGGCACCAGATGGCAGGATGGTGGCCTTCGTGACGAGAAGTGACCCCTCTGACGAGATGCTGAGCCTGACATAGCCTGACATCCTCTGCATCCACTCGGTCGAAGGGCAAAGACTCGTGCGAAAGAAAGTATGCCAGACGTGCATGACCCTGCGGGACGGCTGCGTTGTAGCCAGATGCTACCGAGAGAGAGAGAGAGACGTGCATGAGATACGACCAACACTTCTTTTCTATGGTGGATCGGGCGCCAACCCTTCGAAGCTCACACTTGCATCCGACGATGTGCCTCCAGCCACCTGTTTCACAGGTGCAGACCTTGTGCTGTGCCGGGCATGATGGCATCTATGTCCTTGGGGCGGAGAACGGCAGCCTTCAACTTTGGCAACGGGATGGCTCCGTCGACATTTGACACGGTCCTACGGTCCAGGCGCTTCGTCCGTTTCGTCGTCCTCGTTTTTGGGAGAGGCGCATTTGGGAACGAAGCCTAGTCCATGAAACACTTTGTGGGCAGTCGCCTGTGTCTACCCGCTTTGGGGTGCCTAATCCTACCTCTACCGTGTACCAGTGGAAGGAGTCAGGATTGGGACGGGGTCCAAGTTCGGTTGCTTTCACGGTTCCATCGCTTTTCCAGGATTCCTTTCTATCCGGACCAGGGGATTCACATGGAATGCACTGTCGGTTCAGCTGGCACATGGGGCACCTGGCCGTAGGAAGCCGGAAAGTACCAGACAGGTCGGCTGCCGGTAGAAATCCATCTCAGCTCTCCGAGCTTTTTAGGCCACAGAATATAAGATACATATGTTATGTCATGCAAGGTAAGGTAAGGTAAAGTATGCATGTATGTATTGTATTGTATTATATTGTATTGTATTGTATTGTATTTGTTGAAATTCACCTCATCCCCATGGACCCCGTAGCGTTGACTCTCAAGGTAGAGCAAAAGGTAGCGCTTACCGGGCTAGCAGGGTTAGCTAGGTAGTTAGTACTATTAGAGCTGATCCTGTAAAATACAGTATTGTATGTATGGTATGTATGGTATGTATGGTATGGTATGGTATGGTATGGTATGGCATGGCAGGTAGGTAGGTAGGATTAGGTAGGTAGGTATGTAATGTAATGTAATGTAATGTAATGTATGTATGCATGCAAAGAAAGTAAGTACTCCACAAAAGGGGTAGCAAGCAAAAACGGCCCCAGTAGACTCAGTGGACTCGATCAAAGGCGATTGTCGAAAACGCGCCGTCCCGATTTTTTTATATCTTAAGATTGTTTTTGCAAGGTTTCGTGATTTTTTAGTATTCATTCACCCATCGACTGGGCAGCAAAATCATGAGGGAGTAGATGGCTCAATACTTTTTAGAGGGGCAAGAGAGTGCATATCATGGGTCGTGGCTGCTCATTTCCCGGCAGCCCCAAAATTTTCCGCTGAAAAGGAAAACCGCGTAGGTGGCGCAACCCCATCAAAAGCACTTGTGACAAAACATGTTCCTTTTCTCTTTTCGCTTGTCCTTTTCCCTTTCCTTTTCCTTTTCTCTTTGCCTTCTCCTTTCCTTTCCCTATCCTTTCCTTGCCCTGGGACTTGCACTGCTGTCGTGTTGGTCCCGGCACTGGCAGCGGCAAGAGATGTGCCGCAAGGCAATGACATGAGCAGCCACGACCCATGATATGCAGCAAAACACTCCCGGCCCTCAAAAATGTTGCGCCATCTACTCCTCGCACGGCCGTCCTTTCCTTTTCCGTTTTCCTTTACACCTGTTCCGTTATATGTCCTTTTCCTTTCCTTGTCCATTTCCTTTTCTTGCCACTCCTTACTTTTCCCTTTGAGACAACGGTGCCAACACAACAAGCAACCAAGACTTTTTCTCCAAGTTTTGTGATGCTCGTCCATGGCTGAGGAAGCACCTTCGACGCCGATCCATTGGGGTTCGGCGCGCGCGTTCAAAATGCAGGAGTAGGGGGACGCAGCGTTAGATGTGTCTTTCTTTTGTGAGGATGCAGAGATACACCCAACCAGGCTGGCAGACTGGTGGAGACTCTGCCCCAAGCGACTCCAAAGGTTGTGTTGTTGTTGGCTACGTTACCTAGAGAGACACGGTGCATGGGGATGTGAAGACTTTTTTTTTGGGAAGCACTAGCAGCGAGGTGAGCTTGAGAAAGTTGATTTTTGCACAGAGGCGATGGAACTTGCAAGCCAACAAGGCATTGAGGTTGACCCAGAAGAGGTGTGGGACGCTGACGGCTGGGGCACCTGCCTGTACCTCCCAAGAGGCATACAACATCATACAACTGCAGGGGTTCAACTTACCAGTGCATTGTTGAGCGAGCAAACTATGGCGCTGCTTGAATCGAAGCTGGACCATCTGAAGCAGATAGGCCTTTTTTGTTTCACTCCATCCGCATGTCTACCCGACTCCCACCCCTTCCACTGGCAGGCGACGTGGATTGCTGGACTAGGCGTGAGGGCTCTGACAATCGGCTCTTGATCCAACTTCCCACAATGCTAAGGATCTTTCGTGACCAATTTATTGATCCAATTTATCTTGTGTGAGGGCCCTGCAACAAAAGCCTCTCACATAGAATTTGACGAAACTTGCGCACTCCAACATGTAAACCATTTTTTAACACTGCTCGCTCGTTTCTCTTTTTAAAGCTGCCTTCTTTGTTGCTGTTTTGGCCCAAGTTTGGAATGCAAGAGAGATCCGCACTCAAGCATATTGAATTGAAACCAGTTGACATGATGCATGAACAGGCTCGCGACGAATTGTTGAATCATTTTCATTGGGACAGCTTTCGTGGTAGCGGTGGCGACTAGGAGGTCAAGCATGGCTGCAGAGGACCCGCCTGCCCGCACTAAGGGGGAAGAGGCATTCGAGGGGCAATATGAGATCGGCAAGTACTTCTACGGTGCACCTTGAACCAACATGCAGCATTTCCACGTCATGTGAGAAACTTGTCCGAACAAGCTGCTCCAGCAGAGCCACCGACCACGCCCCGCCGCAGGCGTGTGGTTTTCTTCGACATCTTCAAGAATGGTTTCACCACGCTCTCAAACTCCAGGAAGTCAACAAAGCTTGGCCTCACAGGGAAGGAAATCGACGTCGTTGGAGTTGTTCGAGAATCTGATGGCTGGGGCGTACTCAACAATTTACAATGAAAATTCCACTGTCGGCTTCCGTCAGCTGACGGAGTTCGCCCGGATGTGTGGAGGGACTTTGCCAATGAGCCAAGATAGTGACCAGATCTTTGGAGAATGCAGAGATTTGTTGGCTGCGCACCATTTGGAAGAACTGCTGGAGCGGGTCAAGGCTTCCCCATACTACTCCATATCGGTCGACGAAAAAGATCGCTTCATGCTACTTGTTTTGTCTTTCTTCGATGTGAAAGAGGGCAAGAGAGTGACGACCCGGGTGGTTTACAAAGACCTGGCCGGGTTTGAGGCTGCAGGCATTTTTCGTCAGATTCGGAATGTCGGGGCTCCCCAAACAATACCTGGTGGGATTCACTGCTGATGGAGGCTCGGCGCACGCACACAGGGCCTTCGAGGAGACAACGTATCCCTGGATGTTGTCATCAAGGCGCCCTATAAAAACTTGAGTGAACATCCTATTGTCGTTTGAGGAGGCCCGAAGTGAAACATGAACGCTGGAGGAATTATGAGTTCTTTCAAATTGAAATTTCACCCAAATGTGTTCGCTGTGAGACCCAGCTGGCTACTGCAACCAGCCAGAGGCAGTGGCAGGCACTGTGAAACATTGCATTGAGCATGAGCGATTTTTTCAAAACTTGTGAGATTGTGCTGTGCTGAGGAAAGACAAGGGGATCGAAGTGGAGCAGCTGGCAGGCTGGAGCGAACTGGAGAGTTTGAGAAAGAGCACGGGAAGCCAAAGTTGATAGGGGATTGTGCTGCGTTCAGCAAAAGCTGCATGGATCAACTTCGACTTTGAATTCCCGGCAGGCAGGATTGGGGGCTCGTAGCGGCAGGGGTTCCGCACGAGCAGGGTTTCAGGGGGCTTGCTTGAGACCTCAAACCTTGAACCATGTATGTTATGTTATGTTCTGTTATGTTATGTTATGTTATGTATAGTAGAGTAGAGTAGAGTAAAGTATAGCAATGTAATGTATTGTATTGTATTGTATGTATACAATTTTTTAACTATATAGTGACTAGTGATATATAAGTAGCCGTCCTTAAGTACATAGAATACGGAATTGAACCGCCAAAGTACATTCTGTCATTTCAATTCCATATTCTAAGTGCCCTGCTTTGACCAAAAGAAACAGGTACTTGGAATATTCCCAAGCGGATCAATTTGGGTACTTCGAACACCTTGGAACATCTGAGTTGGTGCGCGCGGGTGTTTCGATCGGAGCACGGGTGTTTCGATAACACAGTCCTGCAGATGACTTTAGGGACCCCGATGTTCTATGCATCTTTTTTGGTTGAGTGCCGCCGGACTGAGTTGCACCGAAATCTCTGTACTTCAGGATGGTTATATACACCTGAGGCAAACAGTACAGTGTTCGGGTTGGCATGTTCTGCTTGCCCCAAGTCCGTAACAAACTCCCGTATTTGGGCATCCATGGGCCAAAATTTGCGGCGTGCACAGGAGGTGGCCCGCTGCCGCTGCACAGGAGTCTTCGTTTCACCCAACGGCTGCGACTTCCAAGCGCGGCCGCATGGTCTCACGCCAAAAATAAAAAACATCTATTGACGTGAGAAGCATCTTCCTAGCCGAAGATTGGCCCCAGATAGAGATGGAGAGTCAGTCCAGGGAGGTCTCTTTTCAATTTAGTGTAAACTACCATTGATTCCAGGCGGAGTTAGGGAACCCCCGAAAGGCCAGTCCACCGTGCTTAAACCTGGGTGATCCGAAGTTCGGACATTCCTTTACCTCGGTGGTCCCCAACAATCGTCGAACTGGATGGAATGGGGGAATGCCGTGTTCCAACTGGCGCAGCCGTGTGATGCAAGGAGCTGTGATGGCCGATGGGCTGAGCGAATCGTTATGAGATATTCCTTCTGATACCAGACTCAGGTGGCAGACTTAGGTGGAGCATGGATGGCAAGTGGGCGAACTCCCCAGTGACTGAAGTACTAAGTATGCATGAAGTTGAAGGTGTTCTTGCAAGGCTTTTGGGTGATAGGGCGCGCAAGGCTTCTCCGAGTTGCTACGAGCAATTCATAGCAATTCATAGCAATTCCATTTCTCTCGGCCTTTCCATGAGTCACGCAGCGTGAAGACCGCGCAGCAGAAGAGACCGACGCCACGTTTCGCCCAGAAATGTCGAGCACCTGGGTCGGAGGCCCACAGCAGCTGCTTGGTCGAAGTGTCCAGTGGCTGGAGGAGGGGCGGAGCCTCGTCTGTACACGCGGAATTTCCCTCGAATGTACACGCGGAGAATTGATCTCGTTTGTGCACGCGAAACTCGGATGTGCACACGGCTTCCTCGGCTGTACACGCGGCTTACACGGCTGAAAAAATGAATGAATGAATGAATGAATGAAATGAATGAATGAATGAATGAATGGAACCCGACCAGATTGTTTCACAATCTGAACCTTGTTGTCTCATTTTACGTCCATCGCTTTAGATGCGCTGCTGAATGTCCAGAGGGACGTTATTAACACCCCCGCACCCACCCCCCCATCCCAACCCAACATCATCAATCAAACGCAGAGCGTCTGTGTGACGTGAACCTGTGGAAGCAATGAGCAAAAAGAGATCATCATGTAGATGAATGTCCAGAGGGACGTTATTAACACATCATCAATCAAACGAAGCAATGAGCAAAAAGAGATCATCATGACTCAATTTGTGTGTGCGCAAATGAGGCGAATCATGTGTGCGCATTTGAGTTTGGGGTAACATGGGCTGTTTAAAGAGGAATGTAATCGATGTGTGCGCAGATGAGGCGAATCATGTGTGCGCATTTGAGTTAAATATATAAAAAAGTCTGTGTGCGGATTTGAGGGGAATTATGTGTGCGCAAATGAGGCGCCATCCCTGGAGGAGAGGGTTCTATGGTTGTTCCTGAAGGTTTCAAGAATCACTGCAGGCCATGGCTAAATGACAATAGGTCAAAGAGATTGTGCAGTTGATTTGGCCATGGGCTGGTGCAAGAGTTTGTGAGTCCACACCATGAGTGTAGATCCATCGAGCTTCCCTATCTCCAGATAGAGGCGTGTCTTAGGAGCTTGTCTAGAGCCGACAGCTGCACATAGGGTTTTGTAATGTTCTGTTGTTTGGAGGGTGCTGACTCCCATCCAATAACGTATTATCCAGCATTCCGGGCTCGTGTGGCAGGCTTTGCACTGTGTAATTCCTCATTTGGTGTGTGAATCATGCCAGGCACGCATGCACGCATGCACGCTGCATGACCCATCATGCCCACAGCCTAGGCGGGACGTTCGGAACGTGGCGATTGCTGCCATGGCGCGTCGTTTCTGCACGTCGCAGCCTGGAGAACCATCTGAAAATTCAGATCTCCATGATCTCCCGGTCCCTAGATCCTTGTGGTCACCTGCCCCCACCATGATTTCATTCTATGAAGAGCGAGCTCTACTGGAAGATCCCTGCAGTTGGTTGGAAGGCTGGATTTTTCCATCGCCTGAGCCACTTCTTTGCGAACGCCTCCGCGAGTTGCTCCAGGCACACCTGGCCTGTCGAACCTCCTTCCACCTGGGTGCGACCACTGGCCGAGCCCACTTCTGCCCCGTCGCGTGCTGGTGTGAGACGGGCGGAGGCGGGTCAGAGCCGTGGCCGCCTTGGGATAGGTCCTTCACAGCTCCTCCGATGGTCACCTGGGACCACTGTGGCCTGGCGCTTTGTGCCCACCCCGCCGCGCTGGATGCGGCCGCCTGCGCGCGGCTGCGGCGGCTCATGGTGGACGGCGCACGGATCTCATGGCCGCCTGCGGTGGACCGGGCGGATGTGGCATGGTGGCAGCAGCGCTTGGTGCGCAGTTCGAAGGTGCAGGCAGCCGTGAAGAGGCAGGTCGCGAGGTTGGAGGCCTTTGGAGCCGAGTTGGAGGCTGTGCCGCAGCGAGCCGAGTGGAGGCCCGTGGAGACGAGGCGTTTGGACACGGCGGAACTGGCAGAGCTGGATGGAATGGCAAGAGAGCTGAACGTGACACGCTTTGATTTGCTGGTGACTTTCTTGGCAGTCTTGCTGAAGAAGGCCTTTAAGGGGAATCTGGTGATTGCAATCCCGCAGGAGGCGGGCTTTACAGACATGTTACCCCAGACCTTGGGGTGTTTTACCGACCACTTGCTGCTTTGTGTGGATGTGCCTTCGCAGCAGCGCGTGGGCGAGGTCGCCCGCGTCGTGCACGCCGCGCTTCAACTGGGGCGCCGGGACTCCGCAGCGCCGACGGTCGAGGTGCAGCGCGAGTTTCGCCGAGCACGGTCGGGTGGCAAGGGCGGTTGGTTGCGGCAGGCCAGGTGTCAGCTGCGCCAGGTGGAGCCAGATGCTTGGACCCAGGGGTGGCCCCCGAAAGCGGACACATGCTGCCAACTTCCGGGTCACGTGGAGCTCCGGTTGGACATCCTTCAAGCGGAAGCGGAAGTGCAGCTGATGCTTTGCGCGGCCGACGCTGGAGATCTTCTCCAAGACTTTCAGATGCTTCTGCACAGGCGAGCTGAGACCGTGGGGGAGCTACTGGAGCCTTCGCCTGAACTGGCCTGCCAGTTGCGGGCACTGGTCAGCAAAGCCCTTCCAGATCCTGAACAAATGACCGACCATGTGCCTTTGGAATGCTTGGGCATGGATTCCGTGTCCACGGCCGCTTGGATCGACAACATGCACTCCATGATGCTCCATGATACTCCATGGCCATGGCAACATGGCTGGTGCGGTTCCAACCTCCATACTTACGGCATCTTACGCCTTTACTTCTAGGACCCAGGCTAGATCTTTCAAGCATGTTCAAAAAATGTATATAATTATATATATATAAATATGTTCAAGCAGATTTGCATCTCTTTGCCACATCGGAATCCACATTCCCAGAGCACAGCGGCTTTTGCATGGTTGCATGGACTCAGTTCCGCGGACCATGTGAGAGCCTGTTATTCACATTTGTTAACCATGGTGTGGGATGATATTGTTATACCCAGACACTCCATGGGACTGCCATATATGCTTACATTGGGGTGGTGCCAGGGGGTCAATGTAGGCATATATGGCATACATGGAGTGTCTGGGATATATTGTTGATCTTGTCCATCATCTGCTGGACTTGAGGTCTCCCTTCTGTTCGACCAAAAATCATCCAATGATACCGAATGTAAACGCTGCTGGTAGGCACAAACCCGTACAAGCCCAACATTTGCCGCCTTTAGGGTCAACAAGCCCAGCATCCCTTTTGCTCTTTGAGGTCTTTTTGAAGGGCCAACTCACTGAGCTCTTTGGCGCTCTCCCTGCCCTAAAGCACTTCGACCACCTGTGGAGCTTTCACCAGCTGTGCCGAGCGCTGGACTGCACCAAAGAGGCCGTGGACAGGGAGGTCTGGCCAATGCGGGCGCGCTTGGCCACGGAAGAGGACTGGCCGCAGCTGCGGCAGATTTGGAGGGAACATCATCACTTGGTGGAGATGGTGGATGAAACCAGCCAAGTGGTGGCGTGGGAAAAGCCTTCACAGTCTGCTTTGAAGTTGGTTGATCATGTTGATCCATTTTTTCCATTGCCTTCCCGATCTCGGATCGGTGCCAGTTGGACCAATGACGACGACTGGGCATGGCCACTCATCCCACCACACCTTGAAATAGGGCACCTCCCAGGGTCTGCAGGATGACTCTCTTCTGACGGCTTTTCTCACACCTTTTTCAGTTCATGCGTGCTCTCTGTTCACCATGCTTTTTTCCTTTGAACCCAGGTCATCACAGGCCCACCCGCCTGGTTGGCCCTGCTTCTGGGCCTCTGGGGCCTGTGGAGTCTTTGGAGCACCGACGCTTCGCTGGACGCTTCGCCGGACGCGCCGCTCCCACTCCGGGCGGCAGCGGGCTATGCACTGCTGGCGCTGCTGCAGCATCCCTTGCACTGGCTGATCGCCTGGAATATTTTGGCCTACGACCTTCGCTGGGGAGCTCTGGCTGAGTGATGTTTGAAACAGGGTGGGGGGGCATGAGAGAGGGCATGAGTCGCACGAAAGAGGGGTTCAAGGAAAGCGTCCGTCATGCGCAAGTTGCATGTTCTTGATTGTTCTTGTCAGGACAGCAGCAGCAAGTCCACTTCTATACTTTCTCAACATCTCTGGGCAGGTGACTTGCACCCCTTCGTCCATGTGGGTGCAGGCGTGAACATGCTCACTGATTGGACCTAAATGGAATTATATATATATATATATCTAAATATGTGATTCTTTGCTCCGGAACTCCGGAGGAATCCAACCCACTCACCTCTCACTCGCCACATCCCTCCCCTCCACCTCCATCCCAGGAGAGCTCCGCTCCCTAAAGGCCTGGACCTCACGCGGATCGGACGTGCACGCGGCGGTCCTGCTGGTCGAGGCGGTGCCCGGGGCGCCGCTGCCTCCGGCGGACGGCGTGCTTTGTGTGAAGTGCCACCGGCAGGTGGCCAGCTTGTGGCATGCGGCGGTGCGGCCGGCGGCACGCAACACAGGTGGGAGGGAGATTAAAATGGGTCAATCGCAAGAGAACCACGCGGATCACGGGAGATCCTGAGGTTTGGACTAAACACGGCGGGTCTAGTAGCAGGGATGATCCTGGTGAGGCCAGGTCCTGTGAAACTACGTCTTAGAGGACAGAGTCGCACTTGGATTGGATCATCAATGCGTTGGACCTTGAGAACGATATGATACGATCCGCACCTCGAAAAAACGCCTCAACAACACACATGCCGCTGGCCGCGGGTCCAAATGCCAAGCCCCCCCAAAGTGATCGGTGGACGAGGTGGAGTCAGTTTCGTCGCAGACTTCAGACTTCAGTCACGCCCGGGAGTGAACAGCCGCCCTTGGATGAATAGAGTTGCCTTTTGGAGGGAGGATCCAAGAAAGAAGATTAAACACGTGCCCCGCTTCCGCAAATCCAAGATGTCGTTCATTTTGGAGGGCCAGAAAAAGGCCCAAACCGTTATCCGCGCGCAGGTGCCAGCTCAGCACTGCTGGGGCTGGCAGAATCCTGGGCGCGAGAGGCTGGTGCTATACGCCTGGAGGCGGTTTGTTTGAATCCTGCCGCCAAGGCCGGGGTCATGGTTTGCACACTCTTCAGTCGTCGCTTGGATGTGGGTGGCACCTGCGTCACCAAGAGTCGTGAACTGGGGAGTCAGGTGATCATATAGCTGAAGGCTGCATGAACCATATCATGAACCTACAAAGGTAATGATGAACATGCATTAACCAGGAGTCACAAAGGGGTGCCGAACTTGGAGGTTAGGGGTGCCCATTATCCACTCACTGGATGGGACCAAACACCACCCTGCCTTGTGACCCCTGGAAGATCATCCGGGATGGTGTTGCCAAAATTGTTCTTCACTTGAAGACCTTCACCCTGAGACCGACCGACAGGGCCACCGAACCCCCACCCAGGCGGCCTGTTGGAACAATCACTTGGAGCTGTGCAACCCACGCTGGGGCAAGTGGCCACTGATGCCGGCCTTCTTTCGGAAGCAGCTGGGGAAAGCGAACCGGGGAGCAAAAAGGAGCATCATGGAGTCGGTCAATGGGACTTCTTCCCAGTACCGCCCCCCTTCCGAACGAAGCACCCGCGCGCTTGCCGCGAAACTCCAGGGGGGAACCCGTTCGGCCGGGTCGGGCCGCCACACAGACCATGTCTGCGATGGCACGACCTGTTGCGGACGGTGGATGGACGAACTGCAATTCATCCAGCAACGAGTCGTTGGCCACAGCGCCTTCGTGCCGAGGTGGCGTGGTGCTTGAGGAAATTCTCCTTGAAGCACGGGCGCCCGGAAGACCGGAGGAAGACAGGGCAGCCGTTTGGGAGAGCAAAGTCTAACCAGAACAGTGTAGAATCAGTCCGGAAGGCGGGGATTCTTTGGGGGGCCCGGAAGGAGTTTACAACTATAACACCTCCAAGAGTTCCAAACCACCTTTGAAGGCCTGTAACCCCGCTCGAATCTCCGGACGATTCCGGACGGATGGACGACCACCGGACGAGGGCCCATCCAGGCCCCTCCGCCGTTGGTCGGACGGTACCCCCGAACCGCCGAGTCCGGCCGCTGCCCGATGCCGCGCGCGACCGATGTCAAGGCCAGAAGCCTTCTTGAAGGTCTTGTCCACCTCCACCACGACCCGACCTGAGAAGGGGGTGGACGAGTGGCCGGTGGTGCGGTCGAAAGGGTGCCTGTTTGGGCGCGTGCGCTTCTGTTGGGGGATCGGTAGAAGGCTTGCCATTGAAAGACTGCAGCAAAGGTTTCAAGCGGGTAAACCGCCAGGAATTTATTTCAACGTTCCTCAAACGCACAACAACCCAACGGACTAGTGTAACAATAGTAGCAGACAGCAAAAGGCAGCATGGAATCAGCCCATGTACTCAGATTATATACCTTCTTGTTGCGAAGTTCATGATGAACTCCTGTATCAGGGCTTGCCGAGCTATCTTCACCGCAGAAAAATGCAAAAAAACATAGTCACAGGCATAGGCGTCATAGAACAACATGCACATGGACACCTGCATCATTTCACCACACACACATATTAAACAAAAAAGAAGAAATCATGTTCTTTTTTTAACGTATAATTTCATACATATATAGAGAAACAATAATAAACACACACACACACACACACACACACGCACTCCCATGCACGCAAACCGAATCTCCTGATCTGATTCATACAAGCACCAGCCAGCCCAACCTTTGTGGTTTCGAACGTTAATTCCTCTATTTGCATTCGCAGTTCGACTGCGGATGCTTTGCTGGATTAGATGGTGCATGGTGCAACAGTGGTTCGACAGCCGAACCCCGAGAGCCAGCGCAGGCTCCGGCTGCACGACTTCACTGCGTCCCAATTGGCGAAGATCTCGTGGGCCTTTGCCAAGATGGGCCCGGGCGCTTGTCACACCCGCAGGCGCCAATGCCCTCTCCAGGGATGGGCCACGGGTGCAGTGGAACTGGTTGGAAAGAATTACATTGATGACGTTGTCAATGTAGTGGTCCTGGCAGAGGCAAGGGCATTGGTATTGGTTTGCGTATATATATATATATGTATGTGTTTATAAATTAAATGTGTATGTTTGTTTGTAGTTTGTTGTACAATCTTGTGTTTTTCTATATACACACATATATATATATAATGTACTGTAGTATGCTATAAATTTAGCGTTTGTTCTTGGTGGTGAAGACATTCCCTTCCCAAGACTCTGTGTTTCGATTGGCGCCTTGTTGGTTCATTAATTTTGGAGTCACTACTATGGCTGGGTGTTTTTCGGAATGTCAAGATCCTGCGTTTGGATCCCCGAGTTCAAGTTCTGGTTGATCACCTCAGGTGTACACCAGTGGCCACTTACGACATAACACATGAGAAGTCATCTACTCTACATGAGTTTTAAGGGTAGATGGCACAGAGCCGGCCCACCAGACTCACCAGCCTTGCGGGCCCGTGCCATCGAACCCCCGGAGCGGCGGGTCGCGCCACGCTCGGACCTTTAGTGTCCGGAGAGCACGGCCGAGAGGCGCATCGGACCCCGGGGTCAGGCTTTGAGCGGTGTCATGAGACTTCAGGATGACTCCATATGGCATAGAATTGGATACAGCCGCTTGACTGGCGCGGCCCGAAGTTGTTCAGTAGCTACTGGGTTCACATTGAATCCCTTATAGTTGGGTTCCTTGTTTCGATCAGCGACACTTATGACTCAAGAGTTCCAGCCTTCGGTGGCCATGAATTCACCAGAACCCGCCAGACGCATCCAGACTGACTTCTTTAATCGGCTTCTTAAGCATCACCGTGGTCGCGAAGACGGGCTGTGCTGGCACCCCATGGCCGCATGAGTTGCAGCGAAGAGACCATCGCCGGCGCTGGCCGCGCACTGGCAACGGCAGCTTGGAGGAAGGGAAACTGCAACAGGAAGCAGTGAAGCAGCTGGGCCTTTCCTTGGCACGACCATTCCTCGGGCCGGTGTTGAGGGAGATGATCAGATGTCCGTGATCAAAAGGAGCAACTTGTACCATCTCTGGGTATCTTTGGGTCACCCACACTGAGGGGCATCCTGGCAGTTCTTTCTGCAAATTGTTGATATTGATGCCACGCTGACCCCCAAAACTTGGTGGCTTTGCTCAACAAGCATTATGGGTCGCACATACGTTTGGTTTCTTCCTTGCAGAGAGCTCATAGAACTCTCCTTCTCAAAGCTCCGATAGGGCTGAACCAGGCCGTAGATCCTCCATCCTGTGACAGCCATCCTCTCTCTCTCTCTCTCACCCAGACCTCACCAAAACCAGGCTGTTCACAAGCCGACGGACCTCAAGACGCCCTTCCAACGCCCTCGACCCAGACCTGCCGCCTTTTTACCCCCCGCCTCCTGACTCCCTGGTGCATTGCAGACCGTCGAGGTCTACACCGCGGTGTCGGCACTGTGTGCGGGGACGGTGCTCTTGAGGTGCCGCGAAAGCGGGAATTCGATTGGGGGGTGTCGGTGCGGGTGGAAGGGGTCTCCTGGCATTGTGGGGGCCAACATGGGCAAGGTCCTATGCACCTTTCGGGTTACGACCCCACCCTGGCCTGAAGAAGCCTAAAAGCTCACAGTTTAGGTGTGTAACTTCAAGTTCCATCAAATTCCTCATACGACATATGTCAATGACAGCATTGGCCCACCCCAGGGTGCATTCTCCACCCCAAGTTGCAAACTCTGAGGCTTTCGCTGTTGAGATGGCTTCAATGTGTGCAAACTCCTGAAGCCAAACCTGTAAAGAGTGAATTCCGCTCGCCCTCTTCATCTGAATCCGGCCCGATTGGGTTTTGACATTGGTTGTGATTCTATGACCCATTAAGATCCACTGAAGTGTCTCGCTCTACTCGGTAGATGTGAGTCATACAGCAGAGGACCCTTCGTTCGTTGGGTTTTGAGACCTTCGTTCGTTGAGGCTGCTGACCGCCAAGTTCTGCCACTTGCCCTTCCACCTCCGGCATGCCGCCTTTCTGTTGCTGCTGCCGCCTGGCAAACGATCAAATAGCGATGAGTGTTGCAAGGTGGGGTGGAGTGTAGTTGTTGTTGAAGACAGGGCCCGTCAACCATCCAGCGAAAGCATGGAGCCAACACAATCAACACACATCAACCAAACCTGCCGGAAACTGGAAGCCCACTTCGCTACGCGTCGCTACAGCCCACCCAAAGAAGGATTTCAATTTTAAGAACATTTATCAGAATTTTATCTGACAGGTTTCTTGATGCTTTCAGGTCTACCTCCTTCCTGCCGAAAACCGCTTGTGGTTTTGCTTGGTGGTCCTTTGGCTTCGTCCAAGCTTCGTCGGGGAAGCTTCACCAAAAGGAGATAGGTGGTGATCAGCTAGCATGATGACCAAGAAGCTCAACCACACCGATCCTTAGGAATTCCTATCGAACATGAGGCTGCCCTGGTTTTTGGAGCTTCAGAAAGGATCACCGCTTCTCCCTTTCCATTCCGCCCTGGCCGTGGGAAGATCCATCGGACCAGGCTGCTGCTCTTTGTCGGTCGGGTCGCCAGTGACATTTGGGAGCTCGGAGGCTTGGCCGAGGCATCGGGCGGATTGGCCGAGCAGAGAGGCTTTCGGTTTAGGCGCCCAGTGGAGACTTTTTTTTGATTTGGATCTTTCGGCAGGGCCAACATTTTCTGCCAGAAGTGGCTGCTCTTTGTGGATGAAAAGGGCAGACATGTTGCACTGTTGGAACATGTCAGGTCCAGGCGGTCCAGGTATACACCTTGAACATGAAAGAACTTCACCACGACCACGCCCATTTCGTCGAGTACCTGAAGCCCATTTCGTTCGGTCAAGAGGGGTGACACCTTCGTTGACCAGAATGGTCGGGTGGATCGACCCATATGTGGGGGATGTTTGGGCGCCATGATGTGACATGTTTCATAGAAGGGATGGGTCCAACGGTGAGGAGAGTCGTGCCCATGTGGCTTTGCAGGTGTACTGTAGTTCTTTTCTGCAGCCCTGCGGCCGTGTAGAACGACAGTCCCAGGTCCTTCGCGCTGACTGGGGATGTCAGCTCAGCGCTGGTTACGGGATTTGGTTCCACAAAGATGTGTGCCCAAAGGTGCTAGACGGCAAACGATGCCCGGCGCCCCCCGGTAGATGCTTTAGTCCCTGGTGAACTGCCGAACCTGGTGGGTGGGCTCAAGACGGTTCCTGCAGGTGGTTGAAGCGGAAGTTCAATTCATTCAAGACGGTTCCTGCATGACCATGAGAACACTCATCAAGAAACCTTGACATTGACTGTTGACGAATCAACTCCCACAGAGGCAGAGGAGCATGTTCACATGTTTCTCAGCGTTTCTTCTTTCATCCACCATCCACACAACTGATACTGTATATGACATATGTATGGAGCCTCAGAGGCATACCCTGGGCCTTCCGCATTCCACGTAGCACACGGATCACCTCAGGAGATGGGAGGTGCGATCCGCTGGGTTCCGGGGCGGGTGCGAGGAGGTCCGGGTCGAATGCAGCTCTCGAGCTGAATGATGACCATCATGATTCATCACGAAAGCGAAAGATAGCTTAATTAGTTAGGCAGTTACTCTTGCTTTATAATCTAAATCTAAGTGATTGCCTGGGGGATGGAATCGGCTTACGACCCCCTCTTGGACGTGTTTGATTTGGGAGCATGATAGTTCTGATAGAATGTGTTTTGGGACAAGTATGTTTCACCTCCTGCCGCGCATGGATTTCACATCCGATTCATGACTCAATTCAGATGGGCCATGATTTGTTAAGCACACTGAAAAAGAGTTAGTCCCTGGTGACCCCCCAGTTTTTTTCGCGACACTCGAGGCTGGTGGCAGCGGGATC